TGGATAGATGCACGCTTGATAAAGCTAGTTAGTCTAGCGAAATATTGCGTTTATTTTCATCATTTTGTAAATATTTTAAACATTCTTATATTTACATACTAAATAGTGTGTTAAAATTACATTGTTAGGCAATCTATAATTTTATTTGTGTAATTGGATTAATCTCTGTACTGATTAATCCACACTCCCATAGATTTGTATGTCATGTGCTGCTATTTATTTATATATATATATATATATATATATATATACAACCAATATATATATATATAGGTATACCATCTTTTCCGCAAGTTTGTTGTTTTCTGTTTGCTATTGAACTAATAGTTAAGATCCATTTGGTTAAATCTGGTGATCCGTTTATTTGGCAATCGCCAATGGCAGTCAGCAGGATTTAAGAACATCCGTTGTTCGACCTGCTAGTAAAATGCGTTTTGTTAAAATATACTTTTTCACTTTTTTGGTCTTTTGGAAAATGTTATTCGTGCTGTATTCAGACCCCTCAACAATTTGTTTTGCATGCACACGTATAAACATTGCGGTTTTTATCCAACGCAATCATAGGTTTGAACGTTGTTTTCAATTTAGACTTATATTTATATATATATCAACACGCATATTGTTATATGTATAATGTGTGCAGTACTATGAATCTAGTTTAAAGCTGAACTGACTGAGATGGTACCTTATAGAAGTAATGCTTGATGACTATCAATAATAAACTCATTATAGATACCAGGTTAAAGATTTTGTACGCCAGACGCTCGTTTCGTCTATAAACGACACTTCAGTGACGCTCGATTCAAACAAGTTATTATTTATGAACATTAAATAACTAAATGTATAGAAGCAACATGCATTATGTCATTTTTGTGTAATTTTATTTCAAATCAATTTTCTAAAAGTTGTTGATGGTATAGCTATTTTGAAATTCATTCAAGGAATTTAACGTTTAAGTCAATAGTAATTGATATCAATCTTTGAAAGAAAGATTATTTGAATTCATTATCTGAAGAATCGGCCAGTCTACAGTATTATAATGTAGCTGACCAAACGACATACCGGAAATAACTGGGAATAAAAGGCTGAACAAAAACGTCCAAGTCAGATAAAGGCAACAGTGGTATACCGCTGTTCAAAAGTCATAAATCGATTGAGAGAAAAACAAATCCGGGTTACAAACTAAAACCGAGGGAAACAAATCAAATATTAGAGGAAATCAACGAAATAACAGAACACAGAAGTGCAACAGAAAACAAACAATAATGCAACATTCATAGAAACGAACTATTAAATAACAACTGCCATACTCCTGTCTTGGTACAGGACATTTTAAGAAAAAAAAAGTGGGTTGAACCTGGTTTTGTGGCTAGCCAAACATCTGCGCTTATTGGCAATGTTAAATATACCGCTAAAATGACAACATTACATGACGGGAACAGAGTACAAATAAATGCAAAAACACCAAAGACAGAGATATACATAAATGAATAATATAATAGTACATTTCGACATGTTAACCACAGAATAACAACGAATAACTAAAATAATATACTAGGACAGTACACAAAAACAGCTGAATAGAATTACGAAGTGTGTGTCTGTAACACGAATGGATCAACGCCACATAAAGTAACGTCACAGGTAAATTTTAAAAAATTGGATATAAATCAAGATAAGGTTTCTAATTATGTTATTTGATGTATTTTATAACAATTACAAGAATATTAATTTAGAATTGTGTTAGTAATAGTGCAACTAACCATGTCGGCCTTTCTTCCAAATCAAACTGTGTAAAACAAATAAATCCTGTGCACATAGTTGCTTTAAACTAAAATCATACAAATGAACTAGTTGATTAATTATCTTAACTTTTACATACGAATAGAAAATAAAAGATAGAATCACAACTACAAACGATTAGACACAAAACAATATCCGATCAGAATTACAAATAAAACTTCGTAACTGAATACATGAACGCTGGATAAACAAATACCGAGACACGTCTTATAGCAATGTGAATTAACACTCAGTAAAGCAGTCATATTCGGGAATAGGTCACGTTCGGTACTTAAAAGACCAGACGACATAAATGGTAAACCATATTCTAAGGCGTGGAAAACATGTCCTTAGTTAGTTTAGACACAGACACATCGTATAGATCAACCAATTCGTGATGGTGTTCATAAAATTTACGGATTGTCATTTTTAATCTTTCCTCCTCATAACTTTGTTGGAGCAGTTTCTTCGTAAGGAGCACACTCCTGCACATGAGGTCCTTTAAGTGTGAACATGCAAACAGAAATATTTTATTTCAGTCCAATGTATTTAAATCAGCCAGTTACACTCCATGCCAACTTTAAAATTCTGTCAAGTGGAACCGTGTTTTTTAATGTTACTACATATTCTCAGTTGTTGCAAATAATCTACAGATGTCTGCTTTTGTTTGCTTATGTTGTTTGGTTACTGACCCATTGACTTTTACCCAACATTTCTACTTAAAGAAAGAAGAAAGATACTAAAGGGACATTAAAACTCATAAGTCGTAAATAAACTGACAACGCCATGGCTAAAAAAGAAAAAGACCACTAGACAAACAATAATACACAAAACACAACATAGAAAACTAAAGACTAAGCAACAAGAACCCCACCAAAAACTGAGAGTGATCTCAGGTGCTCCGGAAGGGTAGGCAGATCCTGCTCCCCATGTGGCACCCGTCTTGTTGCTCATGTTAGTACAAATTCCAAAGGAACATAGAACAGACCTATGATTATCCACGATTTCCTCTTTGTCAAGTGTCGTGTGGGTATATGTTGAGTTTCCAAGTTAATTGTCAATACCAAATTCATTTATCAAGCAGTTTATGTAATGTGATTTACACACAAAAAACGGTGTTGTTTGGGGCTTTGTCTTACTTAAATCATCAAGTGAGAATGAAGAATAATAAATATACCAAACGTCTTAATGTATTTATAGAATTTCAACATGTAATGACAATTTTAGGGAAATATTAAATTAGTGCGAGCACATGATCAATTTTTACTGATTAAGAATATACACACAGAAATGAAACAAACGCTATGTTTTGGGAACTCCCCATACTTTGGATTGTATTACAATGGCATAAGAGGTCGTAAAGTGTTCCACGATGATGTCTGTCAGTGTAAAAGTATTTGGTAACATTCAATAAAGATTGAAGGTTTAAGAAAATTCTTAATGTACAGGTAATACTGGACTGGAACAGGAAAAACATAGGACTGTTACAGGTTAAACATAGACTGGTTGAGGTCAAGCATCAGACTGGTACAGGTTAAGTATAAGACTGGTACAGAAAAAAAAAATAATTACAAAATACCGAATTAACTTGGTGTACCATAATAAACAGTACGACATATACATCAGCCGTTCTCTGTCCGAGTAGATTCCCGAAACAACACCATTTTAACAGTACAAAACATTATGCGTATCATTGGAATTGCCTTAAGTTATTTGTGTTCAGAATTTTAACACATAAAAAAAAAAAAACTCTTAACAGTTTGAGTCATGTTTCAACTGTAAGCTGTTAGTAAGCAAACCAAAATTGATCAAAAGAAATGAATAGTACAAAAGCTAAAGATTTAACAACACATGTATCATTGTAACTTAATATTATATCATTAGTATAAACATACTGCCCTTGGATGAAGGTGTTAGTGTAGATTAACACACGAGGGAAAAAATTATCACTCAAGACGAAGAATTATACTGAATGCCTTATTCAAGTGTGCACTATATTATTAGAAGGAAAATTGTAAAAAAATAAAGTCATAAATTAAGATAGTTTACTAATAACAACAGCAAAACAATGGAAATGATGTAGAAATGAGAATCTGTATACCTCGGCCGCCGGAGCCGGTGTTAATTGTTCCGGATCGGCAAACTTCGGGCTCAGCGGGTGTTAATTTTAGGCATTAGCACCCGTTGCTTATATTATCACATGTTGATATGGGTGGGCTGGGCTTATGAAAGGTTAGTGAAAACTAAAAAAAATGCCTCGTGTCCAATAAAATGAATGGTTAACATAAGAAATTTGCATATTAACAACTCCTCGTCGAACAACTTTACTGAATTTATTCTATGTTTTATAGTATATACTTTTTACGTGTACTAAGTAACTATGCATGGATGACCACAACGGGTAAATTTATACATTGTATTTCAATCAACCTAATATGTGTGGAATAAGTTGACAAGATGGGGAGAGTATATGAAATAAGGAGTTGTGGTTTGATTGCCAGTGAGATAACTTTCCTACAGAGTCTAATAATCGTTTTTTTTCAGCAATTTTAGGCCACCGTATGGCCGTCAACAATAAGCAAAACCTTTTCAGTATCGTCAGCTATATTAAAAAGTCCTCGATATGACAAAATGACGGACAGCAACTAACGACAACCACCGAATAACAGGCTCCTGACTTTCGACGGGCATACATGTTTCTAGAACCATGAATTCTGAATTATCTATAATTGTCACTATAGTAAAACAAACTAGTCCAGCAGGTTATCAGTCGTCCATCGTTACGTGTCACATTATTTAATGGTAATAACATCACCACCAAGGACAGAACAATTAGCAAAGGAGAAAACGTACCGTTAATAATAAATTTTAGAATGAAGATTACCGCGAGAAATTTAAACATCGTGATCTAAAAATAACGTTCGTTTACTATTACTGTTTGCTTAATAGGTATAGTTGAAGTGTTTAAATTTCAATCGTTCATTTATAAGTTGGGTTTTTATAAAATTCATTTAGCTGTGATCCGTGAAAGTATATAAGTAAATCATTCTGAAATGATACACCATATTTTATTAACAGGTCATAAAACACTTCCAAATGTTCTTCACGTGGTCAAGGATTTATATAGTGATACTTGCGTGATTGATTAAATGAGACACTGTTTATATCTAACTATAGTAACATGAGTACTTGTTGATTATAGCAGGAAGCACTTTGTTTTTAAAGTTTTTAACAACGTTGACTAACACTGGCAGTATGCGTACCCTCATAGTTTTGTGCATTATAAATGTTTATTTATGTAACACTGTGTTTTCAAAATGCAGTATCACATTAGATATGTTAGGACATAAGGAGGCTCAGTGTAAAGACCAAGGATTAACATCTGTTCCGATCAATTTACCACCTGATATAAAGAACTTGGATTTAAGTTTTAATAGACTGAACCGACTGGATGCCAACGTATTTCTTAGATATAAGTACCTAGAACATCTAATGCTTGATAATAATGTTATAAGACTGTTGCATGAAAAGGCTTTCAACGGCTTATCATTATTGAAATATTTGTCTATGTCTAACAATTATCTTAATGTAACCGATTCGTATCCCACTGAAGTGTTTGAGTCTTTAAAGAATTTATCAGTTTTAGACATAAGTAGAAATATGAAAACACCAGAATACAACCCGTATAGAATTCCTGTTGGTGAAATCTGTAACTTGCGTGAACTGTCAATTGATCTTGTGTTTAACGCAACGTTCGGGCAGCAATTCAAGGAACTGCACAATTTACAAAAGTTGAGATTTGACTATTGTCACGTTAATTTTTTAAACAATGAAACGTTTTCAGAAATGCCGGGACACATAAAGGAATTCCACATGACAACTTGTAAAGATTTTGTCGTTGTTGAAGTTGGTGTTCTGATTCCATTTCCACAACTAACAGTACTTAATCTCACTAACAGCAATATTCACTTAACACAGGCTCTCCGACTTTTACATCCGTTTCAGAATAAATCAATGGAAACAATTCTTTTTCGTGGGATAACTTATGCCAATTTTAAATACGGTCTAGATTCGGTTATTCTTACACCAGAGTTGATGAAGTATATATCGACTATCTGTATAAAATCTTTAGACTTATCTGACAATGATATCATATTAGTTAGAAACAGATCATTAGTTGTGTTTCAACATCCAGAGTGCTTTGAAAATGTGATGTTGTCGGCCAATAGTTTTAGTTTAGATAATTGGGCGCTCGATTTCTTCATTCTTGTTAGTAGGATGACTAACGTAGAAATATTTGATTTTTCTTATCTTCCACTTAGATTCAAGAATCCAATTTTTCTTGACGTAATTACAAACAATAACCATACACGAGTTGAACAAGTTCAAAGCAAATGGACAAAAAAGATAATTCCTATCACAGTAACATTACCAAATAAAAAAATTTGGTTTGTGAGAATAACTCATCTTATGGCTTCAAATTCTTTCAAGGAAATTAAATTCACTAACAGTTCCCTTCGTCACCTTGAATTATCTTACTTTGAAACAGACATCTTTCCAATTATGACTATTGAGGGATTTAATAGTTTGGAACATTTAGATTTGTCAGGAATAAGATCAGATATAACAATTGGAGTGGGGAAAGTTCCACTTTTAATCCACCTAAAAACTCTTATCCTGAAAGAGACAAAACTGTACAATGTTTTACAAACTAATACTACACCATTTAGATTTTGTCCAAATATAATGAATTTGGATATATCACATAACTATATCTGGAAAATAAAAACTCTTGGACAGCTCCGCAACCTTAAACAGCTTAATCTATCTCATAATTTGCTGGATAATGTTCCAAAGTTTGTTACAAAGTTGGAAAACATCGCAGAACTCGATTTGTCGCACAATCAATTAACAACAGTTCGAAAGAAAACACTCGATTGGATTGATAACCAGCATAAAAAACTTGGAACTTTTAAATTATATCTCAGTGGTAATCCATTGATTTGTTCGTGTGGAACAACCGCCTTTCTGCGTTGGATTCTGAAAACTAAAGTTAAGCTAGATAACAATGGTAACTACTCGTGTTGGGTTGCTTATAGTAATAATATCAACTATACAAGAAATGTCACTGAAGACTTTCACCATTATTTCGTTGACTGTGATCCTATCTTATGGATCAGATTAGGCATTTCATTATTGGTTTCTGTTTTATCAAGTTTGATTTGTATTACTCTATTGTACAATTTTAGGTGGAGAATAATTTTCTTTTTCTTCCGAAATTTCCGGAGGTTTGCAGAGAAAGGTCTTGAGCTTACATTTGATTATGACGTTTATGTGTCATATTCCGATGACTGTGTTTGTTTTGTAAAAGAATTACAAGAAAAAATAGAAAACGAATGGGGATTTAAAATCTGTATCGAAGACAGAGATTTCATTGTAGGCGAATCGATTGCGACGGAAAGAGCTACATCCATTAACAGATGCAGACACATTATATTTGTAGTCTCGCCATCTATAATCGAAAATGAATGGAGTCGTTTTGAAATCGAGCGTGCAAAGTATGAGAAGTTTTCAAAAAATCTGCAGAAGATTGTTGTTATTACAAGAGATATCGCTTTGGATAACATTCCCGTAGAATTTTCTATCATTTGGAAAGATGTTCTACTTATTCAATGGCCAGTTGAGAAGGATGAAGTTCAAATGGCTTGGCAAAAGCTGCGACTTTGGTTCTTCTGAAGTAGTGTTAAGGTACAAGCGTCACCATTTTGCTACATGTACCCCTAATAGAAGACTTATATATGTGTAATAGGGACAAAAATAACAGTAATACTAAAAAAAAAGAAAAGACAGGACACCGTCTTTTTCTTTTTACATTTGATTTCAAAGCGTTTTCATCTATAAATTATTTGTTGCATTGCTCTGTCATTATTAACCGTGTGTATTGTTAGATAGATGAGTTAAATATGGAAATACATATAAACATAATTAAAACCTGTCCTAACCACACTAAATTATTTTGGTTTGCCTTGATTCATTGTTTTCATGTCAACGAAATGATTATAAATCATTCCTGTCAGATTTTCATTTTTTGTTGTTGAAAAATGAAAGAATATGTCAAGACAACAATAAAAAATCTATTTGTGACAACATTTCTTACCTATCTGACTGTTAAACGCATACTTTGAACTAAATAATTATGTAGGTGTACATATTTGAGCAGTTTATGTGTGCTTCGAATTGATTACCATTTTTGTTGAACTTTTAAACTACAGAAAAAAAGATGTTTTTCGAGGTTGTTGTGGCTGTCTACGTCCAACTAGAGGTAATGTCTACTGTCTATGGGAAGTATCTTTTGGTAGGTGTGGTTTCAGATTTATGAGAGCTACAAGTGTATTTTTATGTATGTTAATGAAGATAACGTTTTAATTGTTTAAAACCTTAACAGTAATCTATTTCAGGGTAATATTTGATGTACAGCAATAGTTGCTGCTTTCCTGGAGGAGAAGAATTTCAGACAACGTAAATCAGAATGAAATATGATTAAAAACAAGACAAGAAAATGGCTAAATGCACACGACAGGGGAGGAAAATAGGTCACTGAATAAACTCACAATAGATACAAAGATACAAGTTCTATACGCTAGACGCACGTTGTGTCAACAAAAGACTCATCAGTGACGCATGAATTAAAAAAAGAATAAAAGGCAAAGTAAAGCATAAGGTTGATGAGCATTGAGGACCCAAAATTCCGAAAAATATTTTAGAAATTATACCAGAAGTCTATAGCATTATAAAACCCCTTGGTTTGTTTTAAGGGATTTTGTTTGTTCTTGCTCTTCTAGTTTATGGTGTTTTTTTATGCTTTTCTAATTTTTCAATGTCTGTGGTGTTTCTATCGGTAAAAGACTTGTTATTCGAGGATCACTGATGAGTCTTTTGTAGACGAAACGCGCGTCTGGCATACACAATTTTAATCCTGGTATTTATGCTGAATTTATTTATCCTTTTTTTCCTGAAAAAAAAACGTGTTTCTTTTTCAAAATTTTACAAACGGTCAAGTTTTAAAAAAACAAGAAAATTCACATGACTGATACTTACGAATTCTATGGTTTACACAATAGTCAATTTCCAATCTGCTCTTGCGTGATGTCCTAATAAGTTGATATTACTTATTATATAGGACTAGACTAACACGGCGGGAGTAACATGTGGAGCACGATCTAATCTTCCCGGAACACATAAGATCAACCCCGGTTTTCGGTGGGGTTCGTGTTGCTTAGTCTTTAGTTTTGTATGTAGTATTTTGTGGAATTATTGGTCTTTTCGTCGTTTTTCGTTCTATGCAATGGCATTGTCAATTTTTCTTCAACTAATTTGTTTTAAATGTCCCCTTGGTATCTTCCGCCTCTAGGATTGTGGCTTAGTTCGTTTATCAATCATATTTTTGCTTGGTATTTTGTATATAACACAGTTTTTTAATTGTATCATTCTTTGATATGCTATGCATGTACATTGGGCTTTTGTTTTAAGAACTACCGTTTATAGTATGCGTTTTATAAATTTTTTTTACAGTTCATTATCATCAAGGTTAATGGTAAAAGTGGGTTTTGTATATTTGCTTAATAGTGATCTTGATTGTATTTGTACATCAGAAACAATAGTTTTTGTTTTATTATCACCCTTATTCTGCATGTGATTAATTTTTTAAAATGTATATCGAGAAGTTAATAATTTGATATGAAGGACTTTCTTTAGAATGTTTTCCTTAAGTGAATTTTACTTTCTAATAAAACTATGTCTTTATTTGTCTGACAGCTCGTAAATAGAACTGCACTCACCAGGCCCATAATGGATTGATACTAACAATAAGGGGCAAAAGATACCAAAGGGACATTCAGACTCATAAGACGAAATAAACTGACAACGCCATGGCTAAAAAAGAAAAAGACAAACAATAGTACACAAAACACAACATAGAAAACTAAAGACTGAGCAACACGAACCACACCAAAAACTGTGGGTGATCTCAGGTGCTCCGGAAGATGATATATACATAAAGCTTTGGCAATAAGAGGTCTGCATCATTCCTTACGAGCAGATATAATATGCCCTCTCCATACCTAGAAAACCATTTGGATTATGCTAGATTTTAACCAAAATTAAATCAAACACGTGGTTTAACAAAAAAAAAAAAAAAACCCCAAACTAACAAACAAACAAACAAAACACAAAAAAGAAGACCATTGGGGAATCCAAAGATATACTCAAATATAAGTTAAGGAATGTTTCAATGAAGAAGAATATGTGTTTTTATACACGCCTTCTTTGCAGTTTACATTATCAATCTAGGATGCATTGCTAATAACCAAGTACTTGTGAACATTGATCATCTATTTTATTCATATGTTTATACGCTTGTATAAATATTGTTAGTACTTCATAAGCCTCTTAAGGCTGGCTAATATATTATACTATTGCTGATGTATTGAAATGTAATTTTGATGTTATGTACATGTATATTGTATCAGGTTTCACTTTAAATTTAATAAATAAATATCATAGTATTCATTTAATAGTTAAATGATAACATTATAATAAATGTACATTTCGAAATGAATGTTCCGTATGCATAAGTGTTATTAACAAATATTTATTGTAGAATAATTGGTTTATTCTTATATATTTCAATCAGCATCGGGAAAAAATGGTGATATTTGTGTTTTTGTAGTTCCGTTTTCATGATTTGTTTTTACGTATTCTTATGATCAGACTTTGAGTACGTGTATTCAAGCAACTGATATAAGTGTTGATATCAAAAATGTTTGATGGATTACATGTGTATACCATGACAATATATAATCCACTACTATACACATTTCATGGTATATATCAACATGAATATTTCTATATGTATGATGTGTGCAATACTATGAACCTAATATAAAGCTGATTTGAATGAGATGTCACTTTATAAAAGTAATGCATGATGTCTTTAATTATTAAACTCATCATGAATACCAGGCTTACAAATGTGTACACCAGACGGGCGTTTCACTTATACACGACACATCAGTGACGCTCAAATCAAATAAGTTTAAAATGCCAAATAAAGTACGAAGTTGAAGAGCATTGAGAACCCCAAAATTCGCAATGATTGATGCAGAATGTTTAGATTTAAATGCATTATGTCATTGTTGTGCAATTTTAATTCAAATGATTTTTTAAAATTTCGTGATGGTAAAACGTTAAAAGTTTAAGGAACTTTACGTTTAAGTCAATAGTAATTGATATCAATTTTTGAGAGAAAGATAGTTTAAATTTAAAAGGTAAATGTGCATTCAGTTGTTATTCAAACAGATAAAAAGACAGATTATGATTAAATCAGCCAGTACACTAAATAAAATTCTGTCAATTGGAGCCGTGTTTTTTTTTTATTGTTGCTTCAAATTCTAGGTTGTTGCAAATAATCTACAGATTTTTTTTATTAGCTCAGTATGTTGTTTGATTACTGAACCAGTGATTTTTACACATCAATTCTATTTATATCTATCGAGTTTTGTAACAATACTCATTATCAAGTCAGAAAGAAGAATAATAAATGAACCAAACTTCTTGGTTTATTTATAAAATTTCAATCTATGATGGCAAATTTAGAGAAGGATTACATTAATGTGAGCACATGGTTACTTTTTACTGACAAAGAATATACACACAAAAATTAAGTGAAAGCTATGTATTGGGAACTCCCCATACTTTTGGTTGTATTAAAATGACATAAGAATGCCATTACAATGTCAGAAACAGACTGTATGTCAAAGTTAATTGCATTACATTCAGTAAGATGCTGGACAAAACTATTTTCAAACATTGCTTGAGATGTTAACTTTCAACAATACATGTAAATGAGGGTTTGATTATGGGCTTTCATATCGGCATTCTTTACTTTTTGAGCCAATTTTCTCCTCCCAGCATTTTTGTTGCGCACATTTTTCCGTTTTTTTTTAATAATTTAGCACGTCATTGTTCTCTATTTTGTATTTGTCTTTTTTTGATTTTGCATTTTATACTCAACCTTTTCCGCGATTAATCTCTATTATGTATTTAAACCCCCATAAAAAAGCTTCCGTTATAGTTTTATAAAATTTTAAAGGTTATCGATGTTTAAAAAAAATTCAAGCACTGACTGTGCTTAATGCTGACACCACCAACGCCGGAATGTAGGATCACTATGTGTCAAAAAGCTGATGATGTCTAGTTTCGTATTTTGTACTTTTAAATTTCTATGTTGTACTAATCAAGCAAAACCTTCACATGGAGTATATATATCGCCCATTAGCTACGACATTAAGGGCTTGTGTTGTCTATCATGCTTTTCTAGATAAAGGAATGCTGCTTTCACGGATGCTATTGAACCAACGATATGTTAAAGGCGAGGATGATATCATCTCCGCGGAAATTTTATGGACACCATCATGACTGGGTTAACTGCTTTGGTATATCTACCTCACATATGTACGCGTTGTCCCACATACAATTCCTTCCTGAATTCCAAATTACGACTTCATCAAATAAAACTTTCTTCTTGTTTTTTTACTTAAAATTGGCACCATGAAGGGTGCAAACGTAGTGCAGAAACTACTACCCTTCTGGATCATTTGAGTCAACCCCTAGTTTTCGTGGGGCCAATATTGTGGTCTAGCGAATTTTGATCTTATTTGTGTGTATATATGTTTCTCTTTGGTTATTGTGTTGTGTGTTTTTCTTTGACTTCTAGTTCTTGATTACCCTCTTGTCACCTCCATTTTTATACCATTTTTCTTCCTTTTCAAAAGTTTCTGGAATCATTACCGTTTTAAATTAATGAATCAACGAAAATTCAGTAAACACAATTCCAGACAACGAACACAGTTGTAATCCTACTCATTTTATTATATAAATCTTTCCATTAGATAAAAGTAAGACTTTTATATATAATAATGATTTATTTTAAAGATGATAAAGATTTAGAACAAGAAAGTGTATACAAGACATTTTTGAAAACAAGAAAGACCCTGTGTATATTTGCAAAAGTAAAAC